AGAGCAACATGGGGGGTAACGACATGGGGGAGAGAACATGGGGGGTAGAGCAATAGGGGGGGTAGAGCAACATGGGGGGGAGAGCAACATGGGGGGGGGTAAGTAACAAGGGGAGGTAAAACATGGGAGGTAGAGCAACAGGGGGGGAGAGCAACATGGGGGGGGTAGATAACAGGGGGGTTAGAGCAACATGGGGGGTTTAAACAACAGGGGGGGGAAGAAATGGGGGACTCAGAGGAGGTAACAACAGGGGGAGGTAGAGCAAAATGGGGGAAAAACAGGGGGGGAAAAAGGGGGAAACCCAAAGCAGCATGGGGGAAAACAAACAAATTAATAAAACATAATTTAACAAAAAGGGGGGGTAAGCAACAAACAAAAAAAACAAAAAGTAAAAAAAGACAAAATGGGGGGGGGCAACAGGGGGGGGTAGACAACCTTAACAACAGGGGGAAACAACTTTAAAAATTTAACAAAAAGGACAACAGGGGAGAGGAAAATTTAAACAACAAGGGGGGGGTCAACAATGACCTTATAAGGCTTTATAACAAATTACAAAAATAAAAAAAAAAAAAAAAATATAAGAAAGGGGGGTAAGGGAAAAGGGGGAAATATAAGCAAAAAGAAAAATGGGGGGGTAAAAATAGGTAAAAATGGGGGAACAAAAAAAAAAAACATGGGGGGGAAAACCAACAAAACAACAATAAAACGGGGGGGTACAAAAAATAGAGCACATTTAGGTGACAACATAAAGAAAAGGGGAGGAAGCAACATGGGGGAACAACATGGGGAGGGAGCCAAGGGGTAGAGCAACGGGGGGGAGACAACATGGGGGAGGGAAGCAACATGGGGAGGTAGAGAACATGGGGGGGGATGCAACAAGGGGAGACAACATGGGGGGGTAGAGCAACAGGGGGGGGTAGGCAAATGGGGAAAGCAACATGGGGGGGGGAAGCAAAATGGGGGGGGGTAAGCAACAAAGGGGGGGGTAGAGCAAAAGGGGGGGGTAGAGCAACATTTGGGGGTAAGAAAATGGGGGGGTAGACAACATGGGGGAGGTAGAGCAAAAAGGGGGAGGGAGAGAACATGGGGGAGGTAAGCAACAGGGGGAGGAACAACATGGGGAGGAAGCAACATGGGGAGGTAGAAGAAAATGGAGGTAAGCAACAGGGAGGTAGAGCAAATGGGGGGGGGAGCAACATGGGAGGTAAGCAACATGGGGGGGAGGGAAGCAAAAGGGGAGGGAAAAAGGGAACAGGGGGGGTAGAAAACATGGGGGATGTAACAACTGGGGGGGGGTAAGGGGAACATGGGAGGTAGGCAACATGGGGGGTAGAGCAACTGGGGGGGGAAGCAACTGGGGAGGTGACAACATGGGGGAGGTAAGCAACAGGGGGGAGGGGAGCAACATGGGGAGGAGAGCAACTTGGGGAGTAAGCAAAATGGGGGGGGTAGAGAAAAATGGGGGGTTTGAGCAACATGGGGGAGGGGAGAGCAACAGGGGGGAGGTAAAAACATGGGGAGGTAGAGCAAAAAGGGATAACAACATGGGGGGGAGGTAGAGCAACAGGGGGGGGTAACAACATGGGGAGTAGAGCAACATGGGGGGGGGTAAGCAACAAGGGGAGGGAAGAACAGGGGGGGTAAGCAACATGGGGGGGTTTGAGCAACAGGGGGGGGGTAGAGCAACGGGGGGGGGAGAGCAACATGGGAAGGGGAGGGCAAAATTTAAATGCACATGGGGATAGACCATTGGGGGAGGGAGCAACATGGGGGGGGGAACAACTGGGGGGGGTATAGCAACAGGGGGGTGACAACATGGGGGGAGGTAGACAACATGGGGGAGGTAGGAAAAGGGGGAGGCAACTGGGGGAGAAGCAAAATGGGGGAGGTAGAGCAACATGGGGGGGTGAGCCACATTTGAAAGACTTTTGGAAAAAAAAAAGTGGCCGAACATTTGGGAGAAGTTTGGACCCAACAAAGTTTGGAATAAAAAAGCCATTGTTAGACAAATGGGTTTTTAAAAAAATAGGTATTGTAGACAAAGGGTTTAAAAAACCCCCTTGAAAGACTTTAAAATTTTTGGGAAAAAACCAAATTGGGGGAGACAAAGTTTGGAATAAAAACCATTGTCCCCTGGGGAGCAAAAATTTAGGTTTTTAAAAAAACTTTATTGGTTAGACAAATTGTTGGAAAAAAACCCCTTGTATTTTTAGATATTAAATGTTGGTTTTTTTAAAAACCCGTTTGAGGTTAAAACAAATTTTTTTTAAAAAAAAAAAACCACCATTTGGTTTTTTAAGGGTTTTAAAAAAACCAGGTTTTTTGAGACAAATTGGGTTTAAAAACCAGGGGGAGGTTAACTTTTAATTTTTTTTGGGGGTTTAAAAAAACTCGCTTGTCACTCTGTTTTAGACTTTAATTTTGTTGGGGGTTTAAAAAAAACTCCTTGTCACTCTGCTTCAGCTTTAATTATTGTTGGGGGTTTTAATAAAATAGTTGTCACCTGTTGACTTTTAATTTTTGTTGGTTTAATAAAATCGCTTGTCACTCTGCTTCAGACTTTAATTATTGTTGGTTTAATAAAACTCAGCTTGTCACTCTGCTTCAGACTTTAATTATTGTTGGTTTAATAAAACTCAACTTGTTACTCTGCTTCAGACTTTAATTATTGTTGGTTTAATAAAACTCAACTTGTCACTCTGCTTCAGACTTTAATTATTGTTGGGGTTTAATAAAAACTCCCGCTTGTCAACTCTGCTTCAGACTTTAATTATTGTTGGTTTAATAAAACTCAACTTGTCACTCTGCTTCAGACTTTAATTATTGTTGGGGTTTAATAAAACTCAGCTTGTCACTCTGCTTCAGACTTTAATTATTGTTGGTTTAATAAAACTCAGCTTGTCACTCTGCTTCAGACTTTAATTTTTGTTGGTTTAATAAAACTCAGCTTGTTACTCTGCTTCAGACTTTAATTATTGTTGGTTTAATAAAACTCAGCTTGTCACTCTGCTTCAGACTTTAATTATTGTTGGTTTAATAAAACTCAGCTTGTCACTCTGCTTAAAACTTTTTAAATTTTTGTTGGTTTAATAAAACTCAGCTTGTCACTCTGCTTCAGACTTTAATTATTGTTGGTTTAATAAAACTCAGCTTGTCATTCTGCTTCAGACTTTAATTATTGTTGGTTTAATAAAACTCAGCTTGTCACTCTGCTTAAGACTTTAATTATTGTTGGTTTAATAAAACTCAACTTGTCACTCTGTTCAGACTTAATTATTGTTGGTTTAATAAAACTCAGTTGTACTCTCTTCAGACTTTAATTAATTTTGGTTTAATAAAACTCAGCTTGTCACTCTGCTTCAGACTTTTAATTTTGTTGGTTTAATAAAACTCAGCTTGTCACTCTGCTTCAGACTTTAATTATTGTTGGTTTAATAAAACTCAGCTTGTCACTCTGCTTCAGACTTTAATTATTGTTGGTTTAATAAAACTCAGCTTGTCACTCTGCGCTCTCTACGTTTCACTTTACCAGTTTTAATATACAAATTGTTTTGCATGTAAAAATTAGTGAATATTGTTATATATTAATATCAAATTTGATTTAAAAATGTAAAATTAAATGTTTTTTTCGTACAGGATTGTGGAGTTAAATAGAATGTTAATCACAAAAGTAAACTAGAAAAAAAATAAATATCCTTGTTTATTTCATGTTGTTTTTTCTTTTTTAATTTAACGAGCGAAGAATTTCCTATTTTTCAGAACATTTTCCGTAACTTTCTTAAAAACTTTATTACTGGAGAATGTCTTATTCGATTGGCTTCAAATTTTCAAGGCTTGTGTAATATATCTTGAGCAAGATTCATGCGACTATTTACGTGCGTTGTGACCTATGAACAGTGCTACATAGACCATTACCAAACACACACACACACACACACACACACACACACACACCACACACACACACACACACACACACACATATACACAAATACACACATACACATCATATGGGCGCCTGGCAAACCTTGAGAACAACTTTCCGATACCGTAATAAGGAATCGTTCAAGACACTGTACACCGTGTACGTCAGGCCCATACTGGAGTATGCAGCACCTGTTTGGAACCCGCACTTGATAAAGCACGTCAAGAAACTAGAGAAAGTGCAAAGGTTTGCGACAAGGTTAGTTCCACAGCTAAGGGGAATGTCTTATGAAGAAACGTTAAGGGAAATTGGCCTGACGACACTAGAGGACAGGAGGGTCAGGGGAGACATGATAACGACATATAAAATACTGCGCGGAATAGACAAGGTGGACAAAGACAGGATGTTCCAGGGAGGGGACACAGAAACAAGAGGTCACAATTGGAAGTTGAAGACACAGATGAGTCAGAGAGATATTAGGAAGTATTTCTTCAGTCATAGAGTTGTTAGGCAGTGGAATAGCCTAGAAAGTGACGTAGCGGAGGCAGGAACCATACATAGTTTTAAGACGAGGTATGATAAAGCTCATGGAGCGGGGAGAGAGAGGACCGAGTAGCTACCGATGAAGAGGCGGGGCCAGGAGCTAGGACTCGACCCCTGCAACCACAAATAGGTGAGTACACACACACGCGCACACACACACACACACACACACACACACACACACACACACACCCACACACACACACACACACACACACACCACACACACACACACACACACACCCACACACACACACCACACACACACACACCCACACACACACAACACACACACACACACACCACACACACACAACCCCACACACACACACACACACACACACACACACCACACACACACACACACACACACACACACACACACACACACACACACACACACACACACCAGGAGCTAAGACTCGACCCCTGCGACCACAAATAGGTGAGTACACACAGTCGTATTATTTATCTTCTTCATTTACACACAATATAGAAGTTGGTGTTCATTGGTGCTTTGTGTTCATTGCAGGTTTTGGAGTGTGTTTAACTTGACCATAACAAATGCGGCACTTCAAGTAAGTAAAGTGCATTACCTGCACACTTATCCAGTTTTCTTATAGTGACCAGCAGTGCTGAGTGAACTAAGTAACTCTAGGTAGTGGCTGCTTTAAGGAACTATGTTAGAGGCATTATAGCTCTTGCTGACTCTCAGATGTCCTACTGAGTGTCAGCACTATACTGTGACCTCCAGTGACATGTCTTACTGAGTGTCAGCACTATACTGTGACCTCCAGTGACATGTCTTACTGAGTGTCAGCACTATATTGTTACCTCCAGTGACATGTCTTACTGAGTGTCAGCACTATATTGTGACCTCCAGTGACATGTCTTACTGAGTGTCAGCACTATATTGTGACCTCCAGTGACATGTCTTACTGAGTGTCAGCACTATACTGTAGTTTAATGTTGGCTGTGTTATAGTTTATAAGGCTGACAGTGCTTACTAACTCTCTCTTAAGTGATATTTCTTTCTCTGCCGGAGTGGTGATGGTACAAGTGATTGTACTGGATGTTTGGAGGGGTGATGGTACAAGTGATTGTACTGGATGTTTGGAGGGGTGATGGTACAAGTGATTGTACTGGATGTTTGGAGGGGTGATGGTACAAGTGATTGTACTGGATGTTTGGAGGGGTGATGGTACAAGTGATTGAACTGGATGTTTGGAGGGGTGATGGTACAAGTGATTGTACTGGATGTTTGGAGGGGTGATGGTACAAGTGATTGTACTGGATGTTTGGAGGGGTGATGGTACAAGTGATTGAACTGGATGTTTGGAGGGGTGATGGTACAAGTGACTGAACTGGATGTTTGGAGGGGTGATGGTACAAGTGATTGTACTGGATGTTTGGAGGGGTGATGGTACAAGTGATTGTACTGGATGTTTGGAGGGGTGATGGTACAAGTTGTTGTACTGGAGGTTTTAATTTGTTGTCTATGATTCTTGCATAATTATAATATTGGGTGTACTAGTGTGTCTCACAACACTACGCAAGTGTTGTATAATAGTGGGTGTACTAGTGTGTCTTACAACACTTCACAAGTGTTGTATAATAGTGGGTGTACTAGTGTGTCTTACAACACTTCACAAGTGTTGTATAATAGTGGGTGTACTAGTGTGTCTTACAACACTACACAAGTGTTGTATAATAGTGGGTGTACTAGTGTGTCTTACAACACTTCACAAGTGTTGTATAATAGTGGGTGTACTAGTGTGTCTTACAACACTACACAAGTGTTGTATAATAGTGGGTGTACTAGTGTGTCTTACAACACTTCACAAGTGTTGTATAATAGTGGGTGTACTAGTGTGTCTTACAACACTTCACAAGTGTTGTATAATAGTGGGTGTACTAGTGTGTCTTACAACACTTCACAAGTGTTGTATAATAGTGGGTGTACTAGTGTGTCTCACAAACTTCACAAGTGTTGTATAATAGTGGGTGTACTAGTGTGTCTTACAACACTTCACAAGTGTGTATAATAGTGGGTGTACTAGTGTGTCTTACAACACTTCACAAGTGTTGTATAATAGTGGGTGTACTAGTGTGTCTTACAACACTTCACAAGTGTTGTATAATAGTGGGTGTACTAGTGTGTCTTACAACACTTCACAAGTGTTGTATAATAGTGGGTGTACTAGTGTGTCTTACAACACTTCACAAGTGTTGTATAATAGTGGGTGTACTAGTGTGTCTCACAACATACGCAAGTGTTGTATAATAGTGGGTGTACTAGTGTGTCTACAACACTACACAAGTGTTGTATAATAGTGGGTGTACTAGTGTGTCTTACAACACTACACAAGTGTTGTATAATAGTGGGTGTACTAGTGTGTCTTACAACACTTCACAAGTGTTGTATAATAGTGGGTGTACTAGTGTGTCTTACAACACTTCACAAGTGTTGTATAATAGTGGGTGTACTAGTGTGTCTTACAACACTTCACAAGTGTTGTATAATAGTGGGTGTACTAGTGTGTCTTACAACACTTCACAAGTGTTGTATAATAGTGGGTGTACTAGTGTGTCTTACAAACACTTCACAAGTGTTGTATAATAGTGGGTGTACTAGTGTGTCTTACAACACTTCACAAGTGTTGTATAATAGTGGGTGTACTAGTGTGTCTTACAACACTTCACAAGTGTTGTATAATAGTGGGTGTACTAGTGTGTCTTACAACACTTCACAAGTGTTGTATAATAGTGGGTGTACTAGTGTGTCTCACAACACTACACAAGTGTTGTATAATAGTGGGTGTACTAGTGTGTCTTACAACACTTCACAAGTGTTGTATAATAGTGGGTGTACTAGTGTGTCTCACACTACCAAGTGTTGTATAATAGTGGGTGTACTAGTGTGTCTTACAACACTTCACAAGTGTTGTATAATAGTGGGTGTACTAGTGTGTCTCACACTACGCAAGTGTTGTATAATAGTGGGTGTACTAGTGTGTCTTACAACACTTCACAAGTGTTGTATAATAGTGGGTGTACTAGTGTGTCTCACAATACTTCACAAGTGTTGTATAATAGTGGGTGTACTAGTGTGTCTTACAACACTTCACAAGTGTTGTATAATAGTGGGTGTACTAGTGTGTCTTACAACACTTCACAAGTGTTGTATAATAGCGGGTGTACTAGTGTGTCTTACAACACTTCACAAGTGTTGTATAATAGTGGGTGTACTAGTGTGTCTTACAACACTTCACAAGTGTTGTATAATAGTGGGTGTACTAGTGTGTCTCACACTACGCAAGTGTTGTATAATAGTGGGTGTACTAGTGTGTCTTACAACACTACACAAGTGTTGTATAATAGTGGGTGTACTAGTGTGTCTTACAACACTTCACAAGTGTTGTATAATAGCGGGTGTACTAGTGTGTCTTACAACACTTACAAGTGTTGTATAATAGTGGGTGTACTAGTGTGTCTTACAACACTTCACAAGTGTTGTATAATAGTGGGTGTACTAGTGTGTCTTACAACACTACACAAGTGTTGTATAATAGTGGGTGTACTAGTGTGTCTTACAACACTTCACAAGTGTTGTATAATAGTGGGTGTACTAGTGTGTCTTACAACACTACACAAGTGTTGTATAATAGTGGGTGTACTAGTGTGTCTTACAACACTTCACAAGTGTTGTATAATAGTGGGTGTACTAGTGTGTCTTACAACACTTCACAAGTGTTGTATAATAGTGGGTGTACTAGTGTGTCTTACAACACTTCACAAGTGTTGTATAATAGTGGGTGTACTAGTGTGTCTTACAACACTTCACAAGTGTTGTATAATAGCGGGTGTACTAGTGTGTCTTACAACACTACACAAGTGTTGTATAATAGTGGGTGTACTAGTGTGTCTTACAACACTTCACAAGTGTTGTATAATAGTGGGTGTACTAGTGTGTCTTACAACACTTCACAAGTGTTGTATAATAGTGGGTGTACTAGTGTGTCTTACAACACTTCACAAGTGTTGTATAATAGTGGGTGTACTAGTGTGTCTTACAACACTTCCCTCATTCTATTTTTAAGTTATAATTTTTGTTTAAATATTGGAGGAAGATGTTAAGCATCACGTCAATCATTGTGTTGGAGAATATAACACAGCAGAGTCTTCATCAAGTATAAATAGAAACACCATCGTTTTACCTCTGTTGATTCATGTCTCTCAGGTAATGTTGCTTTGAACACTCCGGAGACAAGGTGGTGTAGAGAAGGCTGGGTTACTATGTATGTTGTAGTTACAGTGTTATTGTTATGTTACAAGGTGGTGTAGAGAAGGCTGCTGCTGCTGCAGCAGTAGGAGGAACAGTAGCAGTAACAGCAATAATAGTAGCAGCAACAGCTGCAGCATCACAGCAGCAGGAACAGCAGTAACAGCAGCAACAGCAGCAGCAGTAGTAGTAATAGCAACAGCTGCAACAGGAACAGTAGTAGTAGCAGCAGCAGCAGCAGTATATAGCAAGACAGGGGGGAACGCAGGAACAGCAACAACAACAGGAACAGCAGCAACAACAACAGCAGCAAAAACAGCAGCAGAAGCAGCAGCTGAAGCAGCAGCAGCAACACAGCAGCAAGAGGTACAACAAAATCAGCAGAAATAGCAGCAGCAGCTGCCGCCTCCATCGCACTTAACTTCCCACACCACTTAGATCAATTAAATTCTCCCTGCTTCCTTCAATCCTTCCTACCTTCCTTCTTACCTTCAGTTCTCCCATCTTCTTTTATGACTCCCTCTCCCTTTATCTGCCTTACCCCTCCCTTCTCCTTCCTTCTTACCTTCCTTCCCTTCGTCCTTTCTCTTCCCCGTCCTTCTCTTTATTTATCCCTCCTATCCACCGTTTACTTTTTTCTCTACATCGCTCTATCTTTAATAATTTATTTTTATTTAAACTTTCTCTTTATAGGTATTTACTTTGTGAGCCCAACACATGAGCCCAACACATGAGCCCAACACATGAGCCCAACACATGAGCCCAACACATGAGCCCAACACATGAGCCCAACACATGAGCCCAACACATGAGCCCAACACATGAACCCAACACATGGGTCCGATACATGAAACCCAACACATGAGCCCAACACATGAGCCCAACACATGAGCCCAACACATGAACCCAACACATGGGTCCGATACATGAAACCCAACACATGAGCCCAACACATGAGCCCAACACATGAGCCCAACACATGAGCCCAACACATGAACCCAACACATGGGTCCGATACATGAAACCCAACACATGAGCCCAACACATGAGCCCAACACATGAGCCCAACACATGAACCCAACACATGGGTCCGATACATGAAACCCAACACATGAGCCCAACACATGGGTCCGACACATGAGCCCAACACATGGGTCCGACACATGAGCCCAACACGGGTACGACACATGAGCCTAACACATGAGCCCAACACATGGGTCCGACACATGAGCCCAACACATGGGTCCGACACATGAGCCCAACACGGGTACGACACATGAGCCCAACACATGAGCC